TAACTTAAATTCCGTCATGGCCTTTAATAGCGACAACATTCTGGTATGCCAGATAGTAGATCTAATGTTTTTCAATTTGTAATTAGACTTAAATTAACATTTAGGCTGCAGGGTTGGCGTCAGTTAGTTGTTGTTTGCATTTTTTTATTTTCTATTTTTTTTTTTTTTTTTTTTGACTTAAAGTCTTTGACTGCCAGACCTGGTGGTAATGACTGTCTCAGCTTCTCTGTCTTCTCTCAGTCCTGGATGACCAGTATGTAGATGTATCTGCTGCAGCGCACCTTGAACTTGACATTGTCTTTGTTTTTCTTGATCATGACAGATTTCGCATTCTTCCTTCTGGCTGTGAACAGAAAATCCTTGATTTCTCGGATCTGTTTAGGCATGTTTCCTGTAAATATCCTTTCTTTAGTTTACAGACTTTTGTTCAATGGATAACCAAGCTAAAGATATTACCAAGAAATGTCCAGGAAAGTAAAGGCTAGCGGTGTAATATTGACCACATCGCCCATGAGGTACCTACTGGGCTATACAACAGTCTAGCACTATAAACCCAGAACTCACCAAGGCTTGGAACGAAGTCCTTTACTTTAGAAGTACCAGTTATAATTCAGAAGGGCTGGACCTGATTAATAGAAACTGGATTGGGGTTGCGTGGTCTCAAGGTATAGTATCCGCTCGTGAGCTAGAGGTCCCGTGTTCAGGCCCCGGTGTGGGCTGGGATTTTCTCACGTGTACTTCTAGTAATTTCCCCCAGTCTCTGGGTAGTGAGATCAGACGCCTGTGTGTATTGCACGTAGAAAATCCCATGGCAGTTGGAAATCGAAAAGAGCAGCTAACGGCTCTGCCCGGGCAAGATGTGGAGTTAAAAATCTACCCCAAAAATTTTCAGGATCCTCGCTGGCGCTACGGAGCCCGTGCACTGCACTGAGCTACTTCGGTCTCAGACTTGAGTTAAAAGTAGAACGGAGCACTTATGGTTTACTATCCTTGTACCATGATGTTGATCCGTTGTTCAAACCTCAAACTTCAAATAGTGTTATATCGATATGTGGTTACCTAAACTCACTCACAGGGTCATCATTTGACTCGCATTGATGTCTGCAGTTTGTTCCAGTTAGATTTATAGTTGCCCGGGATAACCTCACAGGCAGGCGCGTGATTAATAATAGCTACCTTGTCTTTAGATTGTCCTAATTACATCTGCAGTTTTCTGAATACCTGTATTGTTGTATGCATGTGATAAAATTACAATACTGCTACAAAGTATAATGATGGCACAAATGTGGTTTCTGAAAAAAAAGGAAGAAAACCAATCATAGGGTTCACAAAAACAAATCAGGTAGTCAGTCGCTTGACAGAGGAACACTGTAGACTGACTACACAGATGAGACGAAGGAGGTCGGCGATTTTTTTAGTGCTCGAAAATGTGGTTACAGTTGAATAAAAATGAGCAAACGGAGATGACAAAGATGTGTGTGTGTGTGCCTGCGTGCGTACGTGTGTGTGTATATATATATATATATATATATATATATATATATATATATATATATATATATATATATGCATGTGTGTGGGGTGGGGGTATCGGCCATGTAGTGCCATAGCGTCGGTGAAGCTAGAATACTAGCATGATCTGTTCTTCTGGTGGTCGTGTGAGATTGCAAAACATGGCCGCTTGTCGGTATAGCAGTTGATAATGATGATGACGAGGAGGAGGAGGATGATGACGACAGTAAGTCTTCACAAAAACAATGATGTATTTTTGTGCTGAAATACAGTGCACTTGTATTTAACCTTGCATTTTTTTTTTTAATCACACACTGTCTAACCAGTATTTTTATTTTTTTTTTTTTTTTTTTTGCAGTCACAGAAGAACGTAAGTATAGTACTAGTATATAAACCATCTATTATATTCTGAGTGTAGCCGACTGTAAGAAACTTCAGAAGACAGTCAGTAGATTGACTGACTGATTTATTGACTAACTGACTGATTGATTGATTGATTGATTGACTGTTTGATTAACAAGACTTCGTACAATATAACTTAAAGCAAAACCATTTCTGATTAACCATCTTTTGTTTAAGTATGGAAACACTGTTCTCATAGAACAATGACTGTAAACACACCTGTACCATTACCATACATGCACATGTCTGCTACTTCTGTCATCTGGGACAGACACTAACTATCCAAGACACTGGCACCAGTCTCTCTATCCGCCTTCACAGCCTGTCATGTGTGACACGTAATGTCATGTATCAGTCCTCGGTGACTAATAGTTGATACCCCCAGTCCTGGTGGCCATTCTTTATCGACAATAAATCTAAAAGAATGACATATTGTCCAGTCATTTAAACAGAGGAAGGAAACCTTTCAGGCCGTGGAAACATTATATATAACAATCAGACAATGCGTTGATTAGCACTCATAGTAAGAAGTAGAAAGTCCTTCTATCTGTATTTCTCTCTACCAGTGCCGATTATTGTATTGTCTGTTTTTTTTTTTTTTTTTTTTTATTATTATTATATATAATGTCCCAAATCATACAGTGATGATCAATCATCATCAATGGCACCTTTCCGTCTTTCCATACGATAGTGTTATATTGCTCTATGAGGAGGCATGAGACGCACAGCCCATGGCGAGGCGAGTATGACTAGCAAGACCCGCCCGTGTCAAGAAAAGTCTTCCACAAGATAGCATGGGATTTCAGGGCCATTGTTAACAACATTTGTGTTTAATCGCTTTATTTTTAGACGACAGCTCTCATCCTATCTGCAATCATTTCTTCCTTCAGTCTCATTCCCTTCCTGATATGCTCTTTCCACACAACACGGTCCATGGCATTTTGTTCCCATGAGTCCGCCTCAATACCTGGCGATGATCAATAGCCCTTACTTTAAATTCATGTAAATAACTCTGTGTAGTATTTGAATCTAGAAAACAATTGATAAACTGCTCCCAACAATGTTTGTAGTTTAATATTACAAACGTCAGTGACAGAATACACTGATACTCTCATTAAATCATATTGACAATGTTGCCATTAATAATGTTGTTTTTAGAGTTTGAATGATTTATCCTTGTTTTGCTGTTAATGTATCAGTTTTCTGAAGAAAAAATAATAGGCAGTAAGAGCAATAAATAAGGCACCAACTCGCTTACGTAGCTAACGCCTATATTCTGCAGAAGCCGACTGCCCTGCTGTAGCAGACATCCTGTTTATCATGGATTCCACGGGCAGTGTTGGTGAAGATAACTACAACACTCTGCTCACATTCGTGGCTAATTTCACGAGAAGTTTCGCAATTGGTCCCAACTGGGTTCAGTTCAGTGTGATCACGTTTGCAGACAGGGCCTTTAATGAGTTCAGCTTCACCAAATATGCCACACATGCAGCACTTGAGAAGGTAGTCTACATGTTTTTTTTTTTTTTTTTTTGCTGTTTTTTGGCATAACTATCTAACTTTAGACAAGCCAATTGAAGTGGCAACTAGGGTGGAGCAATTAGTAGAGGATGCTCGGTGTGGTCATTCAGCGTTGGTGGGGGAGCGGTGGAGGGAAGGGGTTGTTTTGAAGTCCCTCTATTTCATTACAAAAGGCTGTCAAGAACTGTATTGCATTGTCTTCCACTGTCTCTTTTCCCACATTTCTTTTCAATGGTCGCAACATGTACCAGTTTTCGTCTTCTCATAACATGACCAAAAATTATAATTATAATTTTGCTTCTGTTTGTGACAAGTTCTTTTTTGAGCCCTCGCCTCTTTCAAAACATCTGGTTCTTAAATATATATACTCCCCCCCCCCCCCCACACACACACACTATATCTTCAATCCCTCTAGGTCTTTCTAACTGAAACTATCTTGGCTGTACACGCGGGAACATGCAGGGGTGAAAGGAAATGAAAATGCCGACAGACTGGTCATATCTGCAGTGGCTGATGGAGGACAGACATGCTGACTGCGCTGCGTACTAGAGACTCTGGACGAAGGAGTTAAAGACAAGGAACAGACTGTTGGAAATGGTTGATAAACGAGGACAAGCATGTAGAAGCCGCTTGCGGGGCAAAGAAAAAAAGATTTGCCAGACTTCTACTGGGTACGTTGAGTATGGAGACACTGAAATGGCTGCTGCATCGGAGGACGGAGCACTAATGTATTGAACCGTTTTCTATGATATAACAAGCAGCAAGTTATGTCTGACTTGTCGCGATCACGACGGTGTCGTCAGCATAAAGTAGGTTATTATGTTTATGTTATGACTACCACCAAATTCTGGCATATCCATGTTATATATTTATCGTATAATGAAAATAAATCAGGCGCTGGTACATATCCGTAAGACTGTTGTTGTATGACTCGTGGGAATTATTATCTTGACGTTCTGAGGGGTGAGATGTTACAAACACAACAAACACAACAAACCCATGACAATACTGTGTTGTAGAGGATCATAGAGCAAAAGCTAGTAAGTAAAATTGAAAGTTATGTATTATTCATGTTTCACTACACCCAGTTGCTTACCAATCGTAAGGTTATAATCATAGGTACCAGAATGAATGAAAAGCACAATTATAGGTCAAATAAACATGCGTACTTATATGTCTGTCTTAGGTAAGGTTTTCTAGTACTGACATATTTCTTATATGCGTACACTTGTGTATCTCTAAAGCTTTCAGAAATCTCAATCTACTTGACATAGCAGTATGTTCACATTTCTTCAGGACTTAGGGCGTTCCGTTCACATTTGTGATGTGTTAACATTTTGTAAGAGTGATATAACAATGTACAATGTGTATATTCTCAGGGAATTCTCAACTCCACGTATTTTGGTGATACAACACAAACAGACCTGGCACTGAAGATGGCAAGAGAGCAGTCGTTTACTCCAAGCAACGGAGCTCGACCAGACGTGGATAAAATTGCAATAGTTCTGACAGATGGGCGATCTAATGATCCTGATCTGACTGCACAAGAAGCCAAAGCGCTCAAGGACACGGGAGTTTTGGTGATCACTGTGGCCATTGGCAAGGACATTTTAAATAATGAGTTGGACGCCATTGCTACCCTGCCAGAAGACGTTTTCCATGTTGATCACTTTGATTCTTTGGAATCCATAGAAAAAGAGTTCGCCAAACAGGCTTGCAACAGAGGTAATGTGGATGATACATTTGTTGAATTATAATATATTTAAGTCGACTGGCTCTCTCTCTCTCTCTTTGTCTCTCTTTCTCTCTCTCTCTCTCTCTCTCTCTCTATATATATATATATATATATATATATATATATATATATATATATATATATATATAATATCATTTAAACTGTATTATTAATTTTGACAACAAATGATTTTCTTAAATTTCTAAGTATAATTATTTTACATACAGTGAGACGGGGGGGGGGGGGGGGAATTATCTTTCGCAGTATTATATTGGGATGTTTTTCCTTTCAATAGGAATTTCTCATTTACTAAATCAATCACAATAAAGCCTTCTAAATGAAAAGCTTTCCTAAAAGAGGATGCACACCAGGTCGGTAGCCTACAGACAGTCTGAGAGAACTTTACCTGTTTATTCCATATTTCAGTGTAATTCTTTTGTGTGTGTGTGGCATATTTACGTAACTAATACAACATGCTATAGAATGATAATAGAAATCGCAGCTAAATTACCACATAGAGGTATATGTACATATAGGGAAGCTGGAGCGCATTCAAAATAAAGTCACGCGAGTCATTTGGAATGTACACGGGACACGTCAACTGTGTGCATGAGGCATAAACTTGGATTGCCTTCGTATTTGAAGGATACAGGCTGTTACAGGCGAAAATGTATTCGAAAGACGCAACGGACAAAGAATACCCTCTGCATGAGGCCTTAGAGGACAGCGTGGCATCGGCTGAAAAGAGATGGCTCTTGGATGGCACAAGCCGAAGTCACTCTAAGGACTTTAAGGCATGGTAAGAAATGGATCACAGTGTCGCCCAGTAACACAGCCTTGCCTAGAAAGATAGTTACTCTGGACCGAGGATACCAGGGGTGAATAGCTGGTGCGACAGAGTCAGCGGGGCAAGAGATGATCAAAGAGATTTTACGCCCATGGACATCATAATATATACAGGTGGGTGTGTAGTAGGAGATAAGAAGAGTGGGTGGGTTTTACTGAGTGTGTGTGTGTGTGTGTGGGTGGGTGTGTAGAGAAAGAGAGAGGGAGGGAGAATGAGTATTTTAGACATTAATGCACATGTATTTTTTTTTTTTTCAGTGACTCAGACTATAGGTAAGTTAACGATTTCAGTATTTTAAAATGATGCTCAAAGTAAATCTGTTCTTAAATATTTGCTGGTCATCTCAGTGTAAACATGCAATTGTGTCAACTGTATAATAACCTCAAATGAAGAATTAGGCATCAATTATACGTTCAGAGTTTCATGCATTTCTGATTTTTAAAATATAGCTCTTGTAATGTAAACTTTCTTATCAGCAGTTTTGTTTGGATTGTTAAACTGCTTTTGCATTATCTCTCCACATCTTTCCCCATTCCCCGCTTTTGTACTTGTTTTTCCATAGCTTTGAATACCTTCACAATAGAACAAGTATCCGAGAGTTTGTTCAGTGTATTTCAACATGTTTTACCGCCTATTTCAAAAACATCATCCTAGATTTACGTACAGTCTAAGATTCGTGTTAAACAACTAATACAACGTTCCAACAGTCCCCTCTCCCTTACTGAAATCTGGTAGTTCTTTTTAGTCAAAGAATGGAACCATGTTATAAGCATTGAGGCACTATGACAACAGTGGCACGGTAAATGAACTGATATTCTTGTACCTAGGATTATGTAGAATTTCACCTGACAGAGGTAATAGTGTTGGGATAGCTGATATTTATATAGACCTTATAGTTTTCCAACTTATTACATATTAATTTCTAGTAGTATGTTTACTTCTCCTGGTGTCTCCTAGTCTTTGCAGCTTTATCAAGGCTACGGTGGTTCACTACACACGTTCACCAAGAAGTGTAGGTTTCTTACAGCTTTATGGTGTGTCCGAATCACACCCTCCTACATGTAAAATTGCTTCATCTGCTCTGTCTCTGAAGGTATGCCAGGACAATGAGGGTCTAGAGCCAGCTGCCAATTTAGCTAGCGGAATTAGATAAATGAAAAAGGGAAAACGAAATCGTAATGCGTCTAATAAATTTGCAGTTTAATATTTGACAAATGGAAGCCTCTTCGTATCTGTACTACATTAACTGATACGTGGATTATTGTATTTGCCCCATCTGGCTTGGAATGTAACGTTTCCACTTTCGCTGAATGTTTTATCGGCCGTCACTTCATATTATCCGTCACTTCATATCTGTCACATATCACTCCTGTCGCGTGCCTAATGTAAGGATTTCTCCTTCAGAACCAGCAGCACTCAGAGATAATTATGTTGAGTCGTTTGGCTCGTATTGGTCTAAGGGATTCCCCGTGGCCAATATACGATCAACTTATCTCTGGAGTAGGGCAACTCAAGTATTGGCACTACAAAATATGTCAGTATATATATATATAATATTTCTAGGCACACTTGGCTGGACACCCCCACTACTTACTAAAGAAAGCCCCCAGGTTATGATAGTTCATTATCATAACCATGTTAACACATATAATGAAGATACACATACATACACACCTGCTAACCAACCACTTAAAAAGGTTATCAGCCTTACAGACCGATGCGTAATGGCTATCATTTCACGACAATATCATTTCGCGTTCTCGCTGTTCGTAATTTCAAATCACATTTCAAATGTCCACTCAGTTCATATTTCTGCTGCTGGAGTCATGCAACACGGTTCTTCTTTCGTGTCTAAATATACCTTGCGTTCACACTCAGAAGATCGTAGCAAACTATCATTGATTACATGTTAGTTAGTTAGTTAGTCGTTACGGTTCAGGCATCACAGTAAACGAGCTTGGTCCATAATTGCTCAACCGCCTATGCCAGTGATTCCAGTCACAAACTGAGTCATCAAACACGCTGGATACTTCAAGTAAATGCCGTAGCCATGCAAAGTGTCCTCCGTCAGCAAAACACACACGATTTGATGTGGCAAACCATAAGGTGCATGCCTCCTTAAAACCACTGCGAGACCAAGCGTCATCGCTGAAAATCAACTTCGTTCGACGAATATCTGGGCGATGAGTAGATAAAAACTATTCCTGCCCATTCTCCACATGTCCTCAGCCAACAAATAAATAGCAGCTATAGCACACGCCTTGTCCCAGGAACACCACGAAGAATAATACATTACCCATCATTGCCATTAATGTACGAATCTGGAACTCAGTCAATAACCGATAATCATAGCTCATAATGCCGCCAGGAGCACTAAACTCGGTAGCTCCAGCTGCAAACCGGACTTCCACAATCTTGCAACTTCGAAACTGGAGGAGAAACGGCGACGCGAACGGTCAACGTAGGCCAAGTTCTCAACCGTAATCCATTCCCTATCAATGTCGGAACCGGAAGTCCATTGATTACCTTTGTTACCATTCAACATATTGTTTCGTTTTTGTAGAGTGTGAAGCTCAAGCCGACATCTTGCTCATCCTCGACTCCTCCGCCAGTGTAGGCACCCCTAACTATGCCAAGATGCTGCATTTTCTGGTCAATCTGACCAGATACTTCGACCTGGGTCCGAAGGCAGTGCAGTTCAGCATCATCATATTTGGAGATGACGCTCATCTGGAGATAGATTTTGGCAGATACAGCAATCACCTGTCCCTGGAGCAGGTATTGGGAGGAAGCTGTCTTACTGTGTGGGCGTGTTTGTGTGTTTGTGTGTGTGGAGGGGGGAATGCCTGCGTTTGCATTAATGTGTATAGCACAATATTCCGTGTGGGTTCCGTGACCTCATGGGGGTGGGGGGCATCCACAGCCCTCATGCAAGCATGTCGTGAAAGGCAACAAATTGAGGATATTATCTTCGAAGTCGGAGTACATCTGCCTAAAACACGAAGAACCAACAGTCTATATACAAAAAAGCATTTTCTGTAGTCCGGAAGTGGATGAACATCCAAAAGTTTATCCGGGGTTTACAGTCGGCGAACACTAAAAATGATAAGTTTATCACAATAATATAAATGTACAATATCTTCAGGTTGTTTATTTACACTACCTCTTGGTTGTCTATTTACACTACCCCTGTGCAGTTTATTTACACTACCTCTAGTTTGTCTATTTACACTACCCCTGGTTTGTTTAGTTACACTAAACCCGGGTTGTTTATTTACACTACCCCTGGGTTGTCTATTTAAACTACCCCTTGGTTGTCTGTTTACACTACCCCTGGGTTGTTTATTTACACTGACCCTAGGTTGTTTATTTACACTAACCCTGGGTTGTTTATTTACACTACCCCTTGGTTGTTTATTTACACTACCCCTAGGTTCTTTAAAAAATTTGCTTCTTTGTACAAGTAGCCGCAGAGTCCCCTTATAATTTTCTAGCAGGTCGGATCGTCGGCGGGGGGGGGGGGGGGGGGGGGGCTTTTTTAAGTGTGCAGTAATGAATATTATCTGCTGAGTGGCAAGCAAATATATTTAAAGTACTATGAAATCTATAAACACATACTTAGAAAGAGATTGTCATTACGGGGGTGGGGAGGGGTTGCAGCTCACTTGCAAATTTTCTGAAAGAGGCGGGGGCGGGTCGAATCTGTTTTCCAAGAAAATTGGGTGTGGGGGGGGGGGGGAACCTCATGGTCCCTTAGCTTCCAGGTCGCGACACCCCTGACACTAACACATAACTGTATTATCTCAAATGCAATATTGTAAAACACACATTAGTCTGTAATTCTCTGTAATAAATGCAGAAATGTTCCACAGGGCATACTGGGCGTTCGTTACTTGAGTCAGAATACGTTCACAAACAAAGCCCTGATGTTGGCCAGACTGCAAGCGTTCACTGCCGTCCATGGAGCCAGAGGAAACGCTTCTAAGATTGCCATTGTCTTCACTGACGGTCAGTCCTCGCTACCAACAGAGACTACTAGAGAAGCACAGCTGCTCAAGGAGACTGGTGTCCTAGTGCTATCTGTTGGTATTGGAGATACGGTCAAGCTTTCAGAACTACAAGCTATTGCCACTCTGCGTTCAGATGTCTTTCAGGTGAACAACTTTGATGTTCTGCAAACACTTCAGAAATCGCTGGCTAACAGGACCTGTGAGCAAGGTAGGCGACTACACTATTTTTAAATAATTTAATTTGTTATTCTTCTTCTTCTTTTTCTTCTTTTTCTTTTTCTTCTTCTTCTTCTTCTTCTTCTTCTTCTTCTTCTTCTTCTTCTTCTTCTTCTTCTTCTTCTTCTTCTTCTTTTTCTTCTTCTTCCTCCTCCTCCTCCTCCTCCTCCTCCTCCTCCTCTTCTTCTTCTTCGCGTTCACTGGTTGTAAACTTCGGTGGAAAGTTCTGGTTGTAATTTGTCATGAAATCTCTTATCATTCATCTTCGAAATTAGAAGTAAATACAATACAATCAACAGAGCCGTTCGTTTAAGTGTCATCGGATCTAAGTTTTATATATCAAAAACTGAGTGTGATGTTTTATATATTGTTGTTTGTCGTTGTGCCGTGATCAGAGCGACGTTCTGCAAAGGACCTGCTATCTTGTGAGGACGCGGGCTTGGTTTTTTTTTTTTTTTTTTTACACCTCAGCCACGTTGTTAAACATTCGCAATTTATGAGAAAATATGCAATTACAAAATGTTATCAATCAAACTGAAAAGTGCAGAAACATATTGTCGCCGTTAAAAGCAAAGGTATAGAGAGTTGAAAACGCTTTCTTGTATAAAGTTGCTATTGCATATATTCTTATAATGAACTAAAAACAGCAAAGCTAATTATGATGCTCTTGAGCTATCCTCTGTGTTGCTCGAACTGAAATTATTTGCAATGCTATCCAGATTGTTGGTGTCTAAGACTAAATTTGTTATGTATTCTTTAACACAAGTTCCCCGTTAGTTAGTAATAGGTTTAAATTAAGCTTGGTGGCCTTGATATCTCTCGCGGATCCTGAAAAACAAACATTGATAAGGTCACCAATACGTCGCTGTTAATCATCTCAAATTAGCAACCTACCAACACAATCATCAAAAGTTAGGGCCATCGAGTGAGTGGGGTGTTCTTGTTATGCCTTATAGTCTAGTCTTACTCCTAAAAGAAACAGCAGTGAGGACATCGATTCGTCGCTGTTAATCATCTCAGATTAGCAACCTACCAACACAATCATCAGCAGTTAGTACCAACGAGTGAGTGGGGTATCCTTGTTATGCCTCACAGTCTCCTCTACTAAAAAGACATATATTTTTCATTTCTGCCAAGAGCTACCTGTGCCAGTAAGCAGTGGGAGCGCTTGAGATGAGATGAGGGTGTAGAGGCAATTACAGTCCAGCTCAGCGAGGACGAGAATGTTACAGTGTTTAGTATTTCTCATTCTAGGGGTGGTGTTGGTTTTATTCCATGTATCGGCGTCTGTGGTTTAGGCGTTGCGAACGCGCTCCGTAATACCGGGTGTCGGGTTCGATCCCCATTGCGGACGGTTTGTCTTGTGCTGGTTTGGACAGTGGTACCGAGAGCCGACCGTCCAGTGAGCAATGGAAAACTAGTAGTTGTAAGTTTGCCTAGGAAAACCACAACAGCCAGAAAGTGCTAGGATTGGTTCTGCAACGTCCTGTAAAGGATACGCAACTTAACCCCCCCCCCCAACCCCCCCCCCCCCCCCCCCCCCCCCCAAAATTAAAAATCAGACCCCACGCCTATTGGGAAAAATACAAGCCATCAGTAGTCACCTTCTCAGCATGGTATAAACCTAGGTCTCAAATTTAGAAGTGAAACCATTCCACGACAAGACTATTTGACAAAACGTCATACTAAATTCTTTGCTTTAGATAACCCACAGTACTTATCAAATTGTTATATAAATGATTTACTTATCAGTAATCATTGTTACACAACACCGTAAATCTTGTTTCTTGGCCAACAAAAAATCATACAATTCATCATACGTGAACTGGATTATACTTTAGACATATACAATTGCATAAAACAGCTGGCAAAGATGATAAATGGTCTGAATGATAAACTGTCGTATTTGCTTTCTGTTTCAGTTGCCAGTTCGCAGACATCGAGTAAGTACTCTATCTAATAATTCCCTATACTCATTATACTCATTAAATGAAAAATACATCTAACTGGGTACTTCAAAAGGCTCCTTGACTAGATGCAAATCAACGTCCATTTATGGTCTAAACGCCTTCTGTCTGCTTCCAGAAGGGAACATTTCACATTAGAGTATCATTGATTTGTAATCCTGACAAAGTATTCCACTGGGTGCCAGTATAGCTAAAATAGTTTGGGTCTGGAATCATATACCTGGGAGCCACGGTAGTGTTGTGGCTAGACGCTGTGGCTGCCTATCCAAATGTCTGGCTTAGAGCGATAT